TTTTATAGCACAGCCTCCCAGAGCTGCAAGGAGCTTTAGAAACTAGTCCAACCCCTCATTTACAGATGAGGAAATTGAGGCTTAGAAACATGTGGTTTGCCCAAGTTCCCCGTAAAGAGAAACAGCCCTTGGGGTTCTATGTCTCAGGGCTCTTTGCCCTACATTAAAAGCACTTTGTCTTTTTTATTTCCCTTGTGAAATGACAGGATTTGGAACCCGCTTTTAACTCAGTGAATCTGAAGAGGTTTCCTCCTATTCCTTAGATGGTCTGAAAATAAAGTGAGGATTAGATTTTCAAATATAAGCAAATTTTGTTACAATAGTCAGTCTGCCTGGCTGGTGTAGCTCAGTGGTTGAGTGTCGACCCATGAACCAAGAGGTCACCGGTTCAATTCCTGGTCAGGGCACATACCAGGGTTACGGGCTCAGTCCCCAGTGGGGGGCATGCAGGAGGCAGCCGATCGATAATGTTTCTCTCATATGGATGTTTCTATCTCTCTATCCCTCTCTCTCTAAAAATCAATAAAAACACATATTTTTAAAAGTTTTTTTTTTAAAGTCGGTTCTGCCATCCCATGTCAGCCCAAAGATCAGAGTGGTGAGTAACGAGGTGCTTGTCACCGTACCTGTGTCCTTTTCTACTCTTGGGGATTGGAAAGCCTTCCTCCTGCTAACACTCCACTTGTAAGTATAGACAGGTTTTCATCTTTAGACTGGGGAGCATTTAGTTTGTTTCCTAATGACTTGGAAGCAAGCATTTACTCAAGGCCTACTATGTGCCTGGCTCAGCACAGACTTCTTTAGTAAAGAATGCCATGGGGATGTAAAGTACAGCATAGAGAATATAGTCAATAATCTATATATATAAAAGCCTAAGTGACTGTTATGACCCGTCGACCCAACGACCGCTCGACTGGTCACTATGATGTGCAGTGACCACCAGGGGACAAACGCTCAACACAGGAGCTGCCCCCTGTTGTCAGTGCACTCCCACAGCCAACCTCTCGCAGCTGGCCAATCTCCCAGGGTCCTCCCCCTCGGCCGGCCGGCCCTGATCGACCCCGATTGGGACTGGGCGAGAGATGGCCCCAATTGGCCCTGATCGCTGGCCAGGCTGAGGGACCCCAGCCATGCATGATTTCATGCACTGGGCCTCTAGTACTGTAATAACTAGGGATGGTGTCAGATACGGGTACGAGACCTATCAGAGTGATCACTTTGGAAGATATCTAAATGTCTCATAACTATGTTGTACACCTGAAATGAATATAATATTGTATGTCAACTGTAATTGAAAAACAAATTTTAAAAAAAGAGAGAATGAATTGGGGCCAAGAGACAGGTTGGTGTGGGAGGCTGTGGGGACTTTGAGGGGAGGAGTAATTAAGCTATCCAATGGCATGTGGGTAAGAATGGCTTCACCCAGCAGGAAGGGATTTTGAGTGGAGCCTAAAAGGATAAGAATTCAAGGGGGAGAGAGAGGGAGAACATTCGAGGCAGAGGGAGTTGAGATTGGGTGTGTCAGAGCATCTGGCTGGTATCAGGCACATGTGGGTTCAGTTCAAGATACAGCCATGGGCCTCATAGCGACATTTTGGTCAACGATGGATGTCAGTAGTCCCATAAGATTATAATGAGCTGAAAAATTCCTATAGCCTGGTGTCGTAGCCATGGTGAGGTCGTGGTGCAGCGGGTTACTCATGTGTTTGTGGTGATGCTGGTGTAAACCCACCTACTGCGCTGCCAGTGGTATAAAAGCACAGCAATACAGTTACATACAGTACATAATACTTGATCATGATAATAAATGACTATGTTACTGGTTTAGGTATTTACTGTACTTTTTATTGTTATTTTAGAGTGTACTCTTTCTACTTATAAAACAAAACCCAAAACAAAGTTTGCTGTAAAATAGTATGCCGTGTTCTTCCAGCCGCAGCCTCGTACAGCTTGTGTTTACCTGTCTCTTGACTATACCATTTTCTCTTGTGTTTGATTAAACCTCATTTTTTTTTGTACAGTCACATGCTGTACAGCAGGGGCCTGCGGGCCACATGCAAATACAAATATTGTATTTGTTCTCGTTTTGTTTTTTTTACTTCAAAATAAGATATGTGCAGTGTGCATAGGAATTTGTTCATAGTTCTTTTTTAAACTATAGTCGGGCCCTCCAACGGTCTGAGGGACAGTGAGCTGGCCCCCTGTTTAAAAAGTTTGAGGACCCTGGTGTACAGGCTTGTGGCCTAGGAGCAACAGGCTACCCATACAGCCGAGGTGTGTGGTAGGCTGCCCATCTAGGCTCGTGCAAATGCTCTATGATGTTTGCACAATGACGAAATCACCCAAGGACGCAGTTCTCAGAATGCATCCCCGTTGTCTAGCGGCGCACGGCTGTACTTAACCCTCAGAGCCTTAGTGTCCCCATCTGTAAAAAGGGATAATAATTCTGACCTCCTATGAGCTCTCAGATTGATGTAGGGATTAAATGAGATCATGTATTTGATTTAAGTAGTTCTATCCGACTGGGAGAAAGTGGTTTACAAACGTGACTTTAAAACTTTACTGTGCTTAGCAGCCACCTGGGGAATCTTGCTAAAATTCAGATTCTGGTTCAGTAGGTGTGAGGTGGGGCCCGAGGTTCTCCATTTCTAGCAAGCTCCCGGTAGGGCTGTCAGTGCTGGCTCATAGATCACACTGTTCATGGCAAGGGTTTCAGAGGCCCGTGACTAGGAGCATGAACTTTCATGTCAGAGAGTCCCGGAATGGAGTCCCACTTTCCTGGGATAAGCTGTGTGTCCCTGGGGAAGACACTTCCCCTTTCTGAGCCTTAGTCACATCATTGGTGAAATATGGGCAATAATAAATCCAACCTTACAGGGCGTGTGAGAAAGGAAACAAGTTAACGGATATACATTAGTTAGAGGAGGGCCTGGAAGCCAGTGAAGGGTAGTTGGTGTTAAAGTATGGGTAAGAGGGACCGGAAGAAAGGGACATCGGGGCCAAATTGTGGGGGCCTTGACTTTAGATCTTATTCTGTAGCTAGAGGGGAGCCACTGAAGGTTATTAAGAGAGTGATATGGTCATTAAAAAATAGCAGCAGTTACTGTGTGCCAGGCACTGTGCTAAATACTTTAAGTATCCTCCAAGTGAATTCATAAAACCCTATTGGAAAAATTATCATCATCCCCATTTTACAGGTGAGAAAACTGAAGCACAGAGAGGCTCAGGAGCTCACTCTAGGTTGCCCAGCTAGTAAAGAAGTGCCAGGATTAAAACCTGGACCACCTGACTCCAAACCCTGACCTCCTACCACTTTGTTTTGCTGCCTGTGTTGAGAGCGCTGGAAACGGACATTAGTAAAAGACAGCACTCCCCTTATTTAATAACTTGTTCATTCAACAAACATCTCCTGAATGCTTAGCCTTATACTACGGGTTTCAAACCATTCATTCATTCATTCATTCATTCATTCATTCATTCATTCACCATATCCTCATGGAGCCTTCCTGAGCACAAGGGCATGCTCTGGGCGCTGGGGATGCAGCTCTGATCAAGACCACGTCCAGGCCCCTGTGGAATGATGAAGACGCGGCTTTGCTCTGAAGGAGCACAGATGTTATACGGCACAAAGTGGAGTAGAACAGAAGGCGAGAATCTGAGTAGAATACTTTAGTGACAGTTCACATCGGACAAAATCTTTCTTAGATTTAACTGATTGAAACACACTGTGGACTTTTTGTAACGTTTCCCTTTACATACCAATGACGTATTTATTCCATCAACATGTTTGAGCAGTTAATGTGTGCTAGACAACACGCACGTCTCTGAGAACAGGGAAGAAAGAGGAATCAGACATGACAGCCAGCTGCTGTGGCGGCTCCTTTGTTTAGCGGGGAGTCAGACACCCTGTCCTTACAAGGCTGGCTGATGAGTGGCACAGTGGCCTTCGCAGAGCGGTTTCAGGCCATGGAGGTATTTTCATGTACAGTAATCTAATCTGACTGCCCCGATCTGGTAAAGTAGACTGTGAAAGTGATTTCTGTCTGGTGGTACAGATGATTACACTGAGGCTCCGGGAGGCCTGTTCAAGGTTATCCGCTGCAAGTGGAAATGCCGGGACATGTGCAGGCAGCCCGAGCCCCGGGCCTGCCACCCTGCCACCCAGCTGAGCGCTCCGTGCACCATTACTGAGACTCTACAAGAGCCTTATCAGCCAGGAAACCGTTCCTTTCAGCCACAGGTCCTGTGGTGCCTGGGGACATTCCACGAATGGTGACATCCCAGGAGGCCTCTGGCTCGCCAGGGGTTCCTCCTGCCTTAGGTGTGGAGTTCCCCTGAGCGCGGTGGCGCCCCTCACTGTGGCATTTCCAACTCCGGAGGCCGCCTGGGGCAGGGGACGGGCCTTCCTGAGAAATCGCGCCTCCTCCTTCCTTGGCACAGGAACTGGGCCTCTCCCTCCTGCTCGGGACCTTGGCTCTTGTTCACCTTCCTCACCCATGGCACCTGCTGGCTGCGTGTGCAGTGAGGATATGACACCTTGTGGCTCACAGTAATTGTAGCTGTGCTCGTCCCCAGGCCATCCTGGGTAATGCAGCCCCAATAGCCCACCTCTCCGTATACGCTTAGATACGTTTCCAGGGCTGACTTTCCCCTCTGTGGCAGCTTGTGTCATGAGCCCTATTATAAAACGTTGTGGGCTCTCTCACGCCTCTGTGAAATTCGTGCTCGTCGCTGCTATTCCCAGAGAGGATGTGAGAATGAGGGCAGGGGGCTACAGCGGGCACCGCGAGGAGGAGGCGTGGAGGTTCTAGGACCCAACTAGTTGAGCAGCTTTCACTTTTTAAAAAAAATATATATATTTTATTGATTTTTTACAGAGAGGAAGGGAGAGGGATAGAGAGTTAGAAACATCGATCAGCTGCCTCCTGCACACCTCCCACTGGGGATGTGCCTGCAACCAAGGTACATGCCCTTGATCGGAATCAAACCTGGGACCTTCCAGTCCGCAGGCCGATGCTCTATCCACTGAGCCACACCGGTCAGGGCGAGCAGCTTTCACTTCTGACCTGCTCCACTGGCCTGAGAAATGAACCCACTGAGCTTCTCCCCTGCTGGACAGACTCCCTGAGGCCTTCACCGCCTCATCCAGGAGGGCTTTATCGAGCTCCTGTTATGTGCTCGGCACATTCCTGCCCTCCCAGACCTTCCAGACTTGGGGACTTTGTCCTATCTGCAACTTTGGAAACATATGGGCTCCTCTCCCCAACTACTTTGCGACTGCCCCCGCTTCCTGGACACCCCACTTCCTGGACACCCCGCTTCCTGGGTTTTTCTGCCCCTCCCTGACACTCATTCTTAGTCCGCTTCAGTCATCCCTTAAATGTCGGTGTGGTTCCTCAGGGCAGCGGCCCGGGGAATTCCTGGAGCGGCGCACCCTGGCAGCTGAGCAGGTGGCTGGAGCAGCCTTTACCTGTAGGGCTCAGAGCTGCTGATGGAAAGTCTCCTTCTCCCACCCTCTGGCAGTGCCGGGGAACTGGGGTGTGTCTAGAATATTCGAGGACACATTTTTAAAACAGCTCTGACCTCAAACAAGGGGCCGGAGCTGGAATTACCTACCTACTTGGTGTCTGCTCATTCCTGTCTTTGGGGACTGAAACCTAAATGTCTAGGGCCAGGCCTGGGAAGCACATGTCAGGAGAGGGACGGTTAGACCCAAGGAAGACTGGGAAGGACATGGCATTGTCCCTGCCCTCGCAGGCTGGTGAGGATGTGGACAGAGGCCCATAGAAAGGCAGGGGCATCGCAGAGTAGCCCAGAGGTCCTGCCGCCATCTCCCCTCCCCCACCTTCGGGAGGCAGCTGGAACCCAAGCCACAGACAGACGGCAGGGGAAAGGTTTCCAGTAGAGAAAGCGCCGGGTCTGGGTGGGCTGGTGTGTCAGGGCGGAGAGCCCAGAGGCAGGCAGATGGGCCGAGGAAGGGATGGTGGCTCCAGCTGCTGCCGACCCCTCGGCATGGCCTGCACTTCTCCCTGCAAGAACCAGTCCTTTGGACTCTTATTCTATGCGTTTGTTTCTATTGTATTTGTTCATTTATTTTTTAGATTCCACAAATAAGTGAAATGTTCAAGCACTTGCCTTTCTCTGACTTATTTCACCTAGTACATTATCCTCTAGGTCTGCTCATGTCGCAAATAGCAAGATTTCAATTTTTTAATGGCTGAATACTATTCCATTATATATACATACCACTTCTTCTTTATCCATTCATTTATCAATGGACACCTAAGCTACTTCCCAATCTTGGCTCTTGTCAAGAATGCCGCAACTGATGGTTGCCAGGCAGGAGGGGGGCTGGGAGAGTGGGTGAAAAAGATCAAAGGGATTAAGAGGTACAAACTGCCAGTTATGAAAACAGTCACGGGGATGTCAAGTACAGCATCAGGAATATAGTCAATAATGTTGTGATAACTATGAAGGGTGCCAGATGGGCATCAGAATCATCAGCAGAGCGCTTTGTAAGGTTTGTACATGTCTAGCCACCATGTTGTACACCTGAAACTAACATATTGTATGTCAACGGTACTTGAGAAATACATTTAAAAAAAAGAATCATTTCTTTATTTGGCCAACACCCTCAGCAGCCTGTTCCCTGCTGGCCACCCCTACAGGCAGCCATCACCTGGACGGGGTGGGCGAGGCCCAGGGAGGGGCCTCTCCCGAAGTCGATTTACTCCAGCAGCAAGTTACCAGTTTGACCGATGCACAGAGTCTTTCCTTGAGCAGGACTGAACACGGGACAGGCGAGTTACAAAGCGGGGAGGCCTTTGTGGGAACGTGTCCCTGGGGATGGGGGGTCAGGTAAAGAAGGCTGCCTCTGCCATCTGGAAGGCACAGAGGGGCTGCCCACCGTTTGCTGGGCCCTTACCGTGCAGTTCTATAATGTGCTTCCTTCTCATGACAACTCTGTGCTACTGGCTCTGGGTCTCTAGATGACCTCCGAGAGGTCAAGTGACTTGTCCAGGCTCACATCGTCAGTGGCAGAGTCTGGACGGGGGCCCAGGTCTGTCTGACTCAAAGCTGGTGCCTTCTCCACTGGGGTGCATGGGACTCAAATGTTTGTTCAGTTTATGCTGGCTGCACGCATCAGCGATTTAGAGCAAGGAGAGAGCCAGCCTCTCCTTTATTTTACTGGTAAGGAAACTCAGGCCCCGAGGGATGAAGAGACGTCCCTGAGGCCCAGTGACCCAGAGGGAGTGAGGGCAGAATCCAGGCTGCGGAAGTCCTGGCCACACTCCCATTCCCCTGCATGCCCCATCTCATCTGGACTTGCCATGGTAACCAACCCTCCTTCAGCGTGGGAAGCAAAGGCTGACTAGCGGTTACCTAGCAACTCCCCATAACCAGGTCAGACGGAGCAGGGGGAGGGAGGCGCCCCCCGCTGCGCACCCTGGGGAGTTCCGACCTGTTGAGATGGAATTGCCCACATCAGAATGTGCTCACAAATGACCCTGGGTAGAGCCATACCTGGAAGAACCTGCGCTGCCGAGGCTCAGTGAGTTGCTGGGATTTATGACACGGATCAGGCTGGCTGGGGCCTCTGTCCCCACGGCAGACACAGGGCCTCATTATGTACGGTCTGCCCTCTGTGAATAGCATGGAACCTGACCCCACTGACGTGCTGGCTTCACCTGCATGTGGAAATCCATAGAGGAGGGTGGATGGAAGGGTGAGTGTGTGTGAGACACAGACGCTGTGTGTGCAGTGTGTGTGTGTGTGTCTGTCTACACAGGCATTTTGACCTAGAGGGGAAAAGCTGGGGAGCCGTGCTCCCTCACACTGCCATCTTGTTCCTTAACTATCTAGAGAAATGTTATGGAATGGTCTGGTCATGTAAGATACGAATTTTTTACTATTCCCTGTAGATTGGGTCTTGACAGCCACTGTCCACCTCATTCATTAAACAAATATTTATTGAGCCTCTGTATGCCATGCACAGTGTTAGATGCTGGGCAGACAACAGTTTACAAAACAGAGATGACTCCTGCCCCCAGGGAGCTTACAGTCTAATAGTCACACAAGCCAGTCTAGTGCCGTCATCTAGTGCTACTCAGGCAAAGCACCAGCAACCGCGAGGCGGTCTAATGCAGGGGGACGTTCCCCGCCCACCGGCCCTCTAAGGCCCTAAAAATCATTTGGTCTGGCCCTGCCATGGCATTAGGGGTGAGTTAATTAAATGTTTGACCAAATATAGCAGGCTAATTTTTAAGTTGATAATTTTGTATGGCCGCGAAAAATGTTGTATATATCCAAATGGTCCTTGGCAGAAAAAAGGTTCCCCACCCCTGGTAGTGGGAAGAATGGTTTTAGATTAGGGGCCAGAAAATAACAATTTGCGAAAGTGACACTTAAACCAAGACCTGAAGATGCATAGCAATTAGCCAGGCGAAGAACAGGGGATGCATTCCAGGTAAAGGGAACAGTGGGTGCAAAGGACGTGGGGACAACTCCTTGGCCATCTGGAGGCTGAGTGAAGGCCAGTGGGGCAGGAGCATGAAGGCAAGGAGGCGAGAGGCACCGATGGGGACTGGGGAGGGAGGCAGGGGCCAGGCCTCACAGGGCCACACTAGGACTCTGCATTTTAACCCAAGTGCGAGGGGCAAGGGAGTGATGCAATCAGATTCCTGGTTTACAGACTGCTCTGTGTGGAGGAGGGCGTAGGAGAGGGCAGCAGGGAGAAAGGTGAGGTTGGTCCTGTTGCCTAAGGGAGAGATGTTGCTGGCATGGCTGTGGTCATGGAGAGAAGTGAAGGAACCTGGGCAGTATTTAAAAAAAGAACTGACACGATGTTTTTCGCGTGCCCTTGCCTTGCTAGAGCTAGGCCGAACTGTCGACTTCAGACAGACAAATGGCAGATGTTCTGGCCGGGCCCATCTGCCTCCCATGCGGCCTGGTTTGCTTTGGGCTGGCTCAGATCTAAGGCTGTCACACGGGCCACTCCCTGCCTCCCAGCGGGCCCACACCTGATGGTGGGAATCCATTTTGTTTAAAGATTTCCTGAGAAGGCTTTCACAACGTGTTCGGTAACCTCTGCTCATGTTTAAAATAATTACTATTCGGAAATCCCAGTTTGTACTTCACCTGAATGCCCCTCCCCCTAAAATTTTCTGACTCTTGATGGAGATAAAGATGCTATAATAATAATACATCACCTGGGCAGCCAAATATGACGTCATAATGACAGTTCTGAATCATGTCTCTCTGTCCCACAGCCCAAGCGACTTACTTGTTAGCAACAGAAAGATGCCCCAATGTCCCTGGAAAAGGGATCCAAGCAGCTGTTTAGCTCACTGCCAAGTCCCCTGCCCTTGTGCGCAAAGTGTGGTCCGTGGCCCAGCAACGGAACTTCTGAGACTGGTCGAAAGGCAGGATTGAGTCAGGACCTGCATTTTAACACACTCCCCAGGCAACTCACAGGCACATTTATTTGGAGAAGCACCAGCCTTAGGTCACCCCCAGGCCGTCTAAACGTGGGTGGGCAGGGGCGGGGGCCAGGCGTTTAAACGCAGCGAGCCTCGGCACGCGGGACACGGAACGCCGTTGGTGAAACCCAACTGGTCCGACAGGAACTGGGTTTTCGCTGGAAGTTCCCTGCTCCCAAGTCCCACAGGGCATTGCAGCCGGACTCAGAGACAGTGTGCCGTTTCCTGGTTCTGCGGCCCCGAGAGACACTGGTGGACGAGCCCTGGGGCCGAGATGCTATCGGGTGGACGCACTCCCACGCGCTCCCCCAGCCGGCATCAGGGCCCAGGAGGGTCAGCCTCCCTCCCCCGGCGTGGATGCTGTGGGCCTTGTCCCCTTAGCTTGGTCCCTAAGGCCCTTGTTCTCTGGGTGGCCAGGGTGGCACCTTCCTTCTGAACTGAGCCATGTAGTGAACAGGCTATTTTGGCACCTCAGTTAAAATTACTCCCACAGTGGCCTCTGGTGGAAGAGAAGGTCCGGTCCCAGGGGTTCTGACAGCTCTGCCCACACTGTGCGGTCAGCCTCTGCGGGCTAAGGACTCCTGTGTGTGTGTGTGTGTGTGTGTATGTGTCTCTCTCTCTCTCTCTCTCTCTCACTAGGCACAGCCCCGCAAAACAAGGGCCCTTGTCTTATTATCGCTTTCTTGAAAAGTGTTTCAAGGCACGAAATCTAGGCCAGAACCAAATCCTCTCACTCTGTCCTCACTGGGGCTGACCCTCACATAATCAGACAGACAGATCCCGTTTGTGGGCTGTTTAAAGCATATGGGTTGTAAATACTGTACAGACATTAATTCTGGCTTTTATTTTCCATAACGTGTTCACATTGCCTCGCACCAAAAAGCTGATTGAGTCCCCTTTGCCTCTGCTCTGTCTTCATTCCTGTGGTGCCTTTGCCCCTACCTGCTGGCGTTCATCTCTCTGCTCCAATTCCTCCTCCCACCTGCCTCCGCCCTCCTCCCGAGCCGAGCCTGCTGACTCCAGCGTCTTCCTGGCCTGTCCCACTTAACCTCTTGCTCCCTCCCCTCCCTCTGCGCCTCTCACACGGCTCCTTCACCTTGTGAAACGTCTTCGCTACTTTTTCCTTCCTGTGCTTTCATTTTCAGAGGCTACAAGACGCCCCTCACGCACACTCGCCTCCCCCTGCTTCTCTCTGGCGACTTTCTCTCCCCTCCCGCGACCCCCAACGGAGTCCCTTCTTGTCCTGTTTTTCTCTAAAGGTGTCATGGCGAATTAGAGACTCCTAGAATTCAGGGCTAAAGGGACATAGCCCGCATTACACTGACAGTTACTTCTGAGTCACAAACTCTTTCTTCTGCTTATATCACCTTCAATGATGGTTGTCTCTGTCCCTCCTTAGAGCAGCAAGGACGAAGGAAGAAGAAACAGACCCCCACTCACCCCGCATGCCCCTCACTAACACACTCAACCCAACCCTTTCTTCACACTCACAACCTTCTAGGTGCCCTGATGCAGAGCTGTGCTCCCAGCTACCCTAGGACACTGAGCGCCCTTCCCCAGGGCCCCTGTTCCTCAGCCTGGCTGGTCTGTTTCATGCCCAGGGGTGGGTCCTGGGAGACACAGTCGACTTTGAGGTGCTGAGGAGACACGGTGGGGGGTTCCTTTCCCCAGGTGCGGCTCTTGGTGGAGGGAAGGTGCCAGCCCAGGTCCAATGGTCAGGGGAACAGGAAGCTCATCTGAAAGCCAGGCCCCACGCAGGGTCATGTTCAACCAACCAATTAGCCAATCACTAGTCAGTGCTCTTGTGGCGTGGGCTTCTGTCTGTGCCGCTGGGCAAGGCATCTTCAAAACGCAGAAAACAAGAGAGAAAACAGAGCCCCAAAGAGACACCCTGTAGCCACAGAACAATGACTCTCCCACCCGGCATGCTCGGCCAGGGCTCCTCCGAGCACTTTACAGAAGCTAGGGTGCTGCTTTCTTGGAAGCCGGGGACACAGAGCTCACACCCAGGTTCGCCCCTGGGAGACCTGTGCAAGTCCCTTCACTTCCCCGTGCATGGCCCTCACGGTGTCCCCGTGTCTCCACGCCAGCCACAGGACGTGGAGAAGCCACTGAAGGAGAGGAAGGTGCCGGCCTTGCCCAGGCCTCACACCCAGCTGCTCTATCTCAGACTTGAGCGGCTGCACCCTAATTCTCAACCCAGCACGTCCTCCCTGGGAGAGCAGGAGGGAGGCCGCCCTGCAAACCCTCGGGGTGAGTCGGGCATGCAGGTGAGCCAGAACATGCCCCGCCGAGTCCTGCCCCACCTGCGGTTCTGCGTCCAGCTCCGGGTGTGGATCTCTGCTCAGCTCCTTGAAATTCCCAAGATCAGGGGGAAGTGGTGCCATCTTTAGGAGAGGAAGGATTTCCGTTTCCCTGCCCCCTCCTCCCCAAGCGCCCCCGCCTCCGGCACACGCCTTGCGGGGGGCAGAAAAACAAGTATGAATATAAGCTTCCACCTGAGTTCCTTTCATATCAACTAATTAACCAACTAAATTGCCAATAAATTACTATTACAAATGTGTGTGCCCATAGGCATATATGTGTGTGCACGCGCGCACGCGTGTATGCAGTGCCAGCCTTTCCTCCTTGCTTCCTCTTGCAGGCAGCTCAGACACAAGCCTCTGACCCCGGAGAAGGGCTTCACCGGATCATGGGCGCCACGTAGTTGGCAGGGAAGAGGCCCAGCTTGTTGTGCAGGCGGCCCGTCCACCAGGACGGGTTGGAGCTGTCCAGGACCTCGACCACCTCTCCGGAGCGGAATCCCAGCTCGTCATCCTCCAGGGCCTCGAAGTCGTACAGCGCCTGGGCCCACCGCACTCGCTGTTGGGGGAAATCACGGGGCGGGGGGAAGGGTGCTGAGTTGGGGCGGCCTCTGAGCCACTGTCACACAGACGGGAATCTGCTGGCTTTGACACCCAGGCAAAGTCCTTGGTGAGCAGCCTGCCCTGAAGGCTGACGTTGCCTCTCTGGAGACAGTTCACCGCCGCTGCGACGGAAAGCAGATGCGGGCTGCAAGGCCCTGAGCTCCAAGTCACCACAGTCATCATCGAGGCTCAGGACTTGGGCTGACAGAGTCTCCAAGGCCCCAAGAGAATCCTTGAGGACGACCCCCTACGTCAACAGGTGCTCTTTCTACTTTGTTCACATGACAAATAGAACGGCAGTGCCCAAATGGGCATCTCCCTCCACCAGAACCAGAGCCAAGAAATGGGAGTAGGACGGGGCAAGGCTGACGGCCAGCCCCACGGGAACACTCCCCCTATGGCCACTATTTGGGTTCCCACTACCTCTATTTGAGCTCAGTGCAGTTTGGCATCTTTCCTGGAGAACCAACCGTTTCTCTAATTGCCTACCTTACCTCCTCCATTGGGCCCAGAGGGAAAGTTCACGTACCCCGGCCACCTGGAGTTGCACTGGGTCTGTGTGTCTCCGGTGCATGAGGGTGGTGTTCATTTCGCTGCCCATGCCCATGCCCATGCCACAGTGGCCGTCGTTTATGTCAAGGCTGCCTCCACGGCGCTCCTAGAAACAGATGCAAGAGAGGAGCTGTCATCATGCCTCCAGAGCGTCCCTCACTGTCTCCCCAGTGCCTTGCTCGGAGAAACACGGCCAGGGTTCCAGTAATACTTGCTGGTGATGGCAATAAACCCTATAGATGATGGTGAGAGGGGGAGGGATGACAAAGGTACCTAAGATTATGAAGACAAAGATGATGGCAGGCCCCATTTATTCAATCAAGAAATGCTTATCAGGCCCCTGCCATGTACTTCATACTGTTCTAAGCAATGGGGATATGTAGCTGGAAAGAGAAGGTCCCTTGTCTTCACGAGGCGTCAGTTCCGAGGAGAAATCATGCACATGTAAGTGATAAGTGAGCAGGGAGATGAATGTCTAAGTCTGCCTGGGTAATCAGGGAGGGCTTCATAGAGGAAGTGATGCTTGAATTCCAACTTAAAGGGGAGCGCCAGGAAAGAGCATTTGAGGCAGAGGGGACAGCATATAAAAAGCCTCAAAGGCATGAAAGAAGATACAATGGGCCATTCCGGTAACTAAAGGTAGTGGAGCACTGCTGAAATGTGTGTTTGTGTGGGGAGCAGAGGGAGGTAGCAGGAGAGAGGCTGGGGGAACAGATATGCGCAGCTCACAAAGGACTCTGTGCCCGGCTAAGGAATTTAGGAACGATGTTATCTGGCAGTATTGTCCATCTCGGTAAGCCGCCTCAAATCCCATCTGGATAAGGCGGGGAGAAGTAAATAAATAAGTAAGTAAGTAAGGCTCCACGGCAGGTGTTAATCCGTCTTTCTTGTAGATCGCCACAGCCAGGTGGGTAAGGGACGTGAACAGATTTGAAATTGTGCTGATAGAAAAATGAAGCAATTGTTCCCTGAGTCCTTGGGGTAAGAAAGGGTGTGAGTGTGAGTGTGTGAGTGTGTGTGTGAGTGTGTGTGTGTGTGAGTGTGTGTGTGTGAGTGTGTGTGTGTGTGTGTGTGTGTGTGTGTGTGTGTTCAGGCAGGGAGCAGTTTGATTCACACAGGCTTCTTTGCCAAAGCAGTTTCCATATCATATTTCTACCACTTGGGGCCCCAGCATCATCATCATCCCCTCCCCCTCCTCCTCCCTCTCCCCCCCCCTCTCCCCCCCCCCCTTCTTCTTTTTTTAAAAAAATATGTTTTTATTGATTTCAGAAAGGAAGGGAGAGGAAGAGAGAGATAGAAACATCAATGATGAGAAAGAATCATTGATCAGCTGCCTCCTGCATGCCCCCCACTGGGGATCGAGCCCACAACCCGGGCATGTGCCCTTGACCGGAACTGAATCTGGGACCTTTCAGTCCACAGACCGATGCTCTATCCACTGAGCCAAACTGGCTCGGGCCCCAGCATCTTCTTTATGAACTTCGTGAGACCTGCTGCCAGGCCAGCAGACCCGGACCCCAGCAGAACCACGGCGTTTACTTGCTATGGCTGTTTCCAGCCTCACGGGAGGCTCTCACCCAGTAAGTGGCAGTGGGAACAAGGCGACCTGAGCCTCGGTGTGGGGGTGGGGGAGAGAAGGGCCTGCCCCCACCTCACTGTGCCCGCTCCATCCCTTCCAGATACCTGGTGAAAGTGGTGATGCTGCAGGTGCCGCTGCTGCGCCGGCGGTGGGGCCGGGGGATACTGCGATGGAGGGGGCGGTGGGTGATCCGACAGCTTCCGGTTCATCGCAGGCCGGGTTTCTTCTCCCACAGCCCCACTGATATGTGGGCCTCCCTGGGGCCATCGGTCCAGGCTGTTGCCCCGGCGACCCTGGGAGAGAACAGAGATGATCCATCCTCCTCCCATGTCTCCTGGCTCTACCCCCCACTTCAGGCAGCTGTTCCCAGACTTTGCTCATGACAGCTCTGAGAAACTGCTGACAGGTTGGGGGGCATCTTAGCACCCATGGTTCAGACCTTCAGATTCTCCTTTTTTGGGGATGTCAGTTCTCTGGGTCACAGACTGACACTTTCCATATGGTCTCCATTTAGTCCATTCCTAGTGGGCTTGTTTTTTCTGTGTAATCAAGCTTAGATACTCTCTTTTTTATTCTGACACAAGGCCACCCCTCCTTATCGCATGTTGCCACAATGCTGGACATGCTACCCTCCAGATAAGCTCTGCTATTGACTTTGCATGATTCTGAACTGTCTTTTATAGCCTGGTGATGAGACACAAACACAACCCTCTTGCAGCACCATGGAAACCAGGGCTGCACTGGGCATGCTGGGAGGAGCAAGGCCTTCTTCTTAAGGGTCTCCACCTCAGGAAGCAGAGGGTTATTTTTATGTAACAAGTGTAGAGGGGTTTAGTGTATGCCAGGCAGTGTTCTAAGCACTTTGCAGATACGAACGCATTTAGTCCAGTTTAGGGCAGTTTCATGTGGCCTATTTCTGCGTGCACATCCTAGTAAATTAATACGCCTGTCCGTTTCCTGGTTACAATAATACACAAGGTCTTGGCTGACCTTTGTTTTTCTTTCTGAGCTTCTGTGTGCACTTGGTGGGAACACCCTTTTCTCCTTTGATTGTAACGTCTCAGGCTGAAAAGCAGCCAATTACTTGAAAAAGATGGTTTCCTTTGTTTCCCCATAGCATGTGTTGCTTTGAAAGTCTCAATGCCATTTCAAAGAACCCATCCCTGGGATTTCAGCTACTCTAGTCACCACTTCTTCCGGTAGCTCTCTCTTATGTTTTTTCCTTTGAAAGCATTTTATAAATCGTGTGTGTGCCTGTGAATTTACTCGTGGAAGACAAGTTAGTATTTTCATTGCATCTAGACCAGAATCTGTGGCAAGTGCTCTAACTATATTTTCTCAATTAATCCTCATAACAGCCCATTCTATACTCAGGTTTCTTTTTTGTTTTTTAAATGTGTGTGTGTTTTTTAATCCTCATCCGAGGATATATTTTTATTGATTTTAGAGAGAGGAAGAGGGGTAATGAGAGAGACAGACGTTGATGTGAGAGAGAAACATTAATCACTTGTCTCCCGTATGTGCTCCCAACTGGGGATCAAACCTGCAACCTGGGTATGTACCTTGACTAGGAATAGCACCCACAATCTTTTGGAGCACGGGATAACACTCCAACCAAGTGAGCCACTGGCCAGGGCAGAAATTTCTTAACTTGGCGAGGTCATAGGATAGCTAGTGATGAAATCTGGATTTAAAGCTGGGTCTGTCTGATGCATTTTCTGTGAAAACAATACTCTATTCCAAATTTTCCAAGAGCAAGAATTCCAGGACTATGCTAAGTACTATGAATCCTGTACTATGCTAAGTCTTCTACCCCAATGCCTCCTCTCCACGCCACATCCTGTCACAAAGCTCTGGCTCTGGGCCGAAACTGATGTAGTAATGTCGGTAACGAAATGACGGCATCCAGTAAGAGCTCACCGCACCGAGTGCGCGGTGTGGTTAGGAACGATGTACGGGGAGGGGACGCATTATCTTCTCACCTTCACAACCATCCTAGGAGGTGGATATCACTGACATCCCCATTTCTTGGATGAGGAAACTGAGGATCGGAGACCTTTCCAAAGTCACCTAGCTAGGGGTTTAAACTGAGATCTGACTTCGCAGTTATTCTACCTTTCAGAATCCTCAGAGGACCTGCCCACAAATACATCGTCTTGGTGGTTCATGTAAGACTCCAGCTGCCTAAAATATCTAGATGGGCTGGGCCAGTGTGGCTCATTGATTGAGAGTCGACCCATGAACCAGGAAGTCACGATTCAATTTCCAGTCAAGGCACATGTCCGGTTGCAGGCTCAATTCCCAGTCGGGGACTTGTAGGAGGCAGCCAATCAATGATTCTCTTTCACACTGATGTTTCCATCCCTCTCTCCCTCTCCCGTCCTTTCTCTGAAATCAATAAAAAAAATGTTAAAACACTTTTTTTTTTCAATCCCGAGATGGGCTGACCTGGTCCTCTCGGGTCCTATCCCTCAGGAAGATCTGCTTCTGTTTGGAGATGGACGTTGTCCTGTAGTAGTCCACCAGCTTGTTGAGGGATGGGAACTTCTCTGTCCATAGGAAGTAGTTACCCTTGCTGTCTCTCATGACCTTGAAGTGCTGAACATCATCCTCGTGCCTAGAGATCAAGGCAAATCCAAACTGTGTTACATGGTGACCGTGTCCCCGCCTTCGGGGTTGATGGCACCTGGGGATGCCAAGCGAGTTCTGTTAGGGCAGGACATGGAGATATGGGAGCTTGCTCATCACTAGGCAGGTGGGTTGGGCCAGTCAAGCCCTAGGAGGAAAGGGCTATTCAGGACACAGGCTGCACTAGAGCAGAAGGTAACGTGTCTTCTGACACTGGAGTCGACCTTTGACAAGAAAAAATGTGTCGAGTGCTTTAAAGACTATGAGGTCAAGGACCTTTTGACTATGTTTATCTGAAATATGGCCACCCCTGAGAAATGTACTACGCTAAGGACTCTGCCAAGACTCGGAAGGGAGGGGTTCTCAAGCCCTTGCTACCTTTCCGTTATCAGAAATACCTTGAACCCGCTCCTTCAAGCCCACAGACTCGCTCTGGACAGTCAGACACTACCTTGAGAAATGTGTCATGCTTGGTCTCTACATTGGTCTCTTGGTCTTGCTTTAGTTTTGCATAAATAAGGTTGCAAAGCATTTTGAGCTTTTGGGGAAAGAAGTATTACATAGCATTGTAGAGTTTTCATGGGAACAGGCTTCAGAGATTGTTGATCCTTATGTCTCCTGTCACAGCTGAGGATGCTGAGGCTCCGAGAGATGGAGGGCCTTGGTCAAGGTCCCCGCGAATGAGTGGCAGAGCTGAGGCAAGAACCCCGGGTCTCTGACTCCTGCCTGCCACACCACGTGCACATGCTAACTCCTCTAGATGGGCATCTTTTAACACCAGCTGGGCTCACAGGGCAGGGGCACATTTGTAGCGGGGTGGAGAGACTGGATTTTATTCATCACAAAAGGGAGGACTGGACCTTTACTAATAGCTCCAAGTCGTTCTATTTAGGATATCAAGTTTATGTGTGAAATGGACACACATTTATATCTAAAAGTTAACTGATGTTAATAGTGCCAATCGCCTGATCCAGCAGAAAAATCAAGAATTTAGAGTGTCGGAGAGTAAAGCTACGTCTGAAGGACAGTGGCGCTTTCTTAGGGATGGAGTTAGTGGTCTGTGCTCAGAGGGGACAGGAATTCCGATCACCAGTATCATTTACGTGCTGCGCTCTGCTCAGGGGCAGGGAACCCATGCGGTGACCTCTGCTTTGGCTGCTCTGGGGGGGCAGCCAGCACTGTGCAATCATGGCCTGGCCGTTCACAGAAGTTTCCTTCCCCGTAATACCACATGGCTCAGCTCACAGTCATTACCCCTCACATTGGGGGAAGAGGAGGGAATATCCTTGCGGTATATTATCCCTCCGCGGCCTCTGGCCAAAGACCACAGAGTGAGAAACATTAACCCTTTCACTCTCATGAGCCGGGAGGGGGGATGCCAGGATTTTGGTGGAGAGAGCGTGTTCTGGGAGGGGCAGAGAAAAGGCTAAAGTCTAGTGTTTCAGCTGCTTATCAAATGCTAAGTGACAGAACTATAATTAGCTCTTAATTATCTGTGCCCATGACAGAAAGCAAATGTGTAAATAAATAAATAAAAATGACTTCGCTCTGGAATGCATTACCCTACTTTTCTGCAGAAGATGAGATCATGATTATGGTAATAATCACTGTTACAAAAGCTGCATTGCCTCAATAGCAGGGGAAGGCTCTGGCGGAAGGCAAGGCTGACTGCTTTATAGAATCTACTTCAATCAAGGAAATGTACTAGGAAGTCATAGCTCCGGGCTGAAGAGGCCAGAGCCAACTTCATGCCAACCACAGGCACCAGGAGGTGCCCTTCAGTCTGACAACTCACTTGGTCCATTCCATAATCAAGGCCCTTAAGAAATAGGTTAGGCTTGTAAGGTTTACTGACAGAGCAAAATTTCATTAAAAGATGTAACAAGTTTAGAATTGTGAGACATCAGTATTGGCCTGACCTAGAATATACCGCTGTCCAAGCTGTGAAAAAGAGAGGAAAGTTAAGAGTTTAAGCGAGACTGCAAGGGCAACGTGCACAAGCCCAAGCTATTTTTGAGCACTCGAGAGGCACATGCACATACAAATCATTGACCCATTATTTGTCAGCCCCTCCTCCCTAGTCCTTAAAATATCCATTCTTTCTAAATAGTACAGTGACCTCAGTTTATTAGCCGAGATTGGATTTATGTACCTAAAGCACTCAGGCCGCAGGCCTTTCAAAATATACTGAATAATCCAGATCAGCATTTCCTGTCGACTAACTCGGCAGCAGGCTTCACGGTGCAGGCTGTCACCCTCCGTGCTGCCATCAGCATGAATTATGCACTTTCACATGTGGTCACCAAGTCTGAAACGTGACTGCAACCCCAGACATGCTGACCACACGCCGTGTGTTCAGACGTGGGGCTTCCGAGTGTGGCGCTGCGTCACGCTTGTGCCTGGACTGAGTCACTTCCTCTGGGTGCTGAGCATTAGGGAGTTTGCTGTTCGTCTCCCCACCCCCGCCCGCCTCGGCTCTGCCCTGCTGCCTCTGTTTTGTGCGGCCACCCCCCACTCCATATGTACCCACAGCGGTGACTAGGGGTTTTCATTTCTCTCTGACCCTGCCTCAGACTTCCATCTGTAGTAAAAGGTTACAATTTAGATCTCAAGATGGATGTGGACAATTCTCCCCACTTCTCTCCACAAATACTCATCATGCACCACTGGGCACAAGGCACTGTTAAAGGCACAGAGATGAGGTGGATAAAAATCCCATCCTTCTGGAAGCACCTGCGCTAGAGGGGGAGGCAGAGAAATGTGCGCATGCTTTTGGCCACAGACCAATGTGCCTAGGAGTTACATGCATGTGCCATGGGAAGCAAGTGGACAGCATGACAGTTGATAAGATGCCTGGGCCCCTTGGCCACCATGCTCCTGAGCAATAGGTCACATGCAAGAGGTCACTTCCTGGCTTAGAGGTCCGGGTCAGGGCGGTGTCGGGGATGGCAGTACCTGACGGATATGGAGAAGTCCCCTGGGGAGCTCTGGCTGGCCCGGATGATGAAGAAACCAACCTCCTTGGCCATGAGTAAGTTCTCTGCCTGGTGTCGCGAGAGGCCTTCGTGAAACCATCTGCCGGGTGAGAAAACCACAGGATTTTGGTGAGATGCCAGAGAGATAGGAGGGGGAAGTAGAAGGAGGGAGGCTGGGGACAGCAGCGGAGGAAGGAGAAAGTGGGGCCAGGCGCCCTGGAAGCCCAACAAACGTGCAGGCGTGTTCAGGCACAGGAGTGAGTGTGCCCGCGACGCCCCCTCTGTTCCCTCCAGGAGAAGCCCCTCCAGCTTGGAAAACCTGCATCATGGAAAGGTGCGGCTGCACCGAGGTGGGGCCTTGTGGGGAGTGGCTCGCTGGGGAGCAGCCTCCGCTGGCAGCTGCGGAGGGAAGTTGCGAGGGAAGAACTGCAGGGACATCCCTGTGCCAGGCGGACAGGGACCCCTGCAAGCACTGGAGGCGGCCACCCGGCGGAGCTGGGGAGGGCCTGGGCCTGGGCTCCCAGGCTGAGACCTCGGGGCCTGGAAGAAGAGTCGCAGCCCTGGCCCAGCTCTCGCTCAGTGCTCGGCCAAGGCTGCAAGGCACGGGGAGGCCCTGCACATGCACTTGGAAGTGAGCGAGGCCGGCAGCAGCCTGAGAACCACGTCTACAGAGTGAGCGAGGCCAGCAGCAGCCTGAGAACCACGTCTAGAGAGCGGGCTCCTGGGCCTCCTCAAAAATCCAGGCTGGAAATACCTTTACTGTGGAAAAGGAGAAACCGAGGAGAAACTGCCCTTTCAGGGGCAGCGAGGGTGGCGGCCTCGGAAGCGTCAGGCCGCCTGTCATCTATGGAAAAGGCCGCATTCCTAGTATTTTCGCTGTAAGCTATTTGCCGGAAACATCTTTGCCACAAGCCCTTTTGCTAATGGCCACAAGGCAATTTTGCAGTAAAAAAAGTTAAAATCACGACAAATGAAAGAACATAAAGTCAAAAAGGCTTCATTTGAATATAGTTGAAGTGTGTGCGGCTTCATGGCAGTGCTGCGCAGATAACGGATTTTATTTTGGGGATGTAGCTGAGCACTTGTCTTCGTTCTGTGGGAAATGTGGGTTCAACTCTGTGCCCGCACAGGGCCTGGCTTCTCTCCTCCATTAGTGTGTTTGAACACAAGAAGCCCACCTTTGGGGCCAATCTTCCTCCTCTGGAAGAAATGCTATGCTAAGACCCCAACCACGTCTCCTCTCACTGTATCCAGGGGTGGGCAAACTTTTTGACTCGAGGGCCACAATGGGTTCTTAAACTGGACCGGAGGCCGGAACAAAAGCATGGATGGAGTGTTTGTGTGAACTAATATAAATTCAAAGTAAACATCATTACATAAAAGGGTACGGTCTTTTTTTTTTTTAGTTTTATTCATTTCAAACGGGCCGAATCCAGCCCACGGGCCGTAGTTTGCCCACGGCTGGTAGAGACCGTGAAGAGGGCTGGCTAAAACTCACAGACAGTATAGAAATGGGAGGAACTAGGAGAACTTGTCAATGGAGAAATGTAACAAAATGACAACTAGCTTAAATGCACTGTGTGTGGAAGGCAATTGATTGGTTCATCAATGGAGAAATGAAACCAAACAAACAAGCAAAAAAATCACAATCAAACTGCCAAACAATTATTTTCTTTTTTATGGCAGTTGATTGATTTGTCAATAAAGAAATGAAACCAGAAGAAAAAAACAATTGTCAACCAGTTATTTATCTTTTTTTTTAACAGCAAAATTGCCTTCAGGCAATTAGTTAAATGGGGGAAATGTCTGTAGCAAAATGTCTACAGCAAGGACTCTACAAGGAAAGCACCCAGAACGGAAAGGGCCAAGCACCTCCACAGGCCAGGCAAACAGTGGCCACAGCCTCAGGAGGAGGCCAGACACCTCTCACCCACAGGAAAGCGAAACAAGTATTTGCAATCACTGGGCGGCCAAAGGTGGGACTGGGTCCCATTGCTCCCAGGTGGGTGCCCTAATTGCTGCCACTGGAAGGCCAGTGTGTGTGTCCCTTTAAGGCAGCGGTTCTCAACCTGTGGGTCGCGATCCCTTTGGCGGTCGAACGACCCTTTCACAGGGGTCGCCTAAGACCATCCTGCATATCAGATATTTACACTGTGATTCATAACAGTAGCAACATTACAGTTATGAAGTTGCAACGAAAATAATGTTATGGTTGGGTCACAACATGAGGAACTGTATTTAAAGGGCCAGAAGGTTGAGAACCACTGCCTTAAGGTGAATGTCCAACAGGCACGGCGTGGGATGCCTTTAAAAGTGAGCAAGCCCTGTGCTCTCTAGAATTTAGGAATCCGAACAGACAGGGGTGGCAGGAGAATGTCCTTACTCCAGGACTGCAGGGGGCGGTGGGGTCGGCTCTGAGGGGCTGGAAGCAGAGGGTCTGCTGATCACTTGCCCTGAGATCCTGCCCAGAGTATTTGCCACAAGCCCTGTAGGGGTTTGTATAGGAAACCGAATGGGGATGGGAACAAGAACGGGACATGCTCCACAGCAGCCACACCTCAAAGGAAATATATCAGACGAGGCAGCAGGTAATGAGGGGATTGTTCAGAAAATACACACTTGTCCTCTGACTGGAATTTGTTGAGTGACACTTTTTAAGACTTGCAAAGCTGTCCACACACTACATATTAAATGAGTGGCCAGGGTTTCAATGTTACATATCATTCCAAAGCTATTCATTCATTCAATAGCTTTTATTAATAAGGGCTGGGCCAGCCCTGGCTGGGTAGCTCAGTTGGTTAGAGCATCGTGCTGATATGCCAAGGTAGCCGGGTTGGATCCCCGGTCAGGGCACATACAGGAATCAACCAATGAATGCATAAATATGTGGAACAACAAATCAATTTCTCTCTCTCTCTCTCTCTCTCTCAAATCAATAATTCAAAAAAGTGCTGGGCCCTCTTCTGGGCACTGCGGATAAGTGGTGAGCAGAAGAGACCAAATCCATGCCCTCAGGGACCTTACGTCCTAGGGGCGGGGTGTACAGTAAACAACAGAATAGGTACAATAGGCCATGTGTCAGTGGAGGAGAAGAGCAGGAGACAATGAAAATAAAGAGGAGGGGTGGGGAGTAGGGTACAGTATCTATACTAATAAAAGCCTATGTGGTCGTCACGCTCTCATGCTGTGATGCCCTCACACCATCACAATCCATCACCAGGAGGCTGCATGTACAGCGGGCGCGCAGGTGGGCAGGACTGCGTGCGGGTGAGGTGCACGCGGGTGGGCGGGGACTTGACTCTGCAAGGCCCAGAGAGAGAGGGCGTGGCAGCCGCGGTGCACTGGAAGTCCCGCCTCTACACATGTGAGCTGTACAGGGAACACCTTTTCTGACCACTCATTGGCTAAGCTCATGATACGCCACTCGCAGTGTTCTTGGTACCTTGGGTAATAAGAATCCAAGAAGGCGATCTAGGGTTTTTCCACCTCACTCCTAGAGGAAAAAATGAAGGTCCACTGCTGGAGGGGATAAGAAATGTCATATTCTTCCCTAGCCAGTTTGGCTTAGTGGATAGAGCCTCAGCCTGCAGACTGCAGGGTCCAGGGTCGATTGTGGTCAAGGGCATGTATCTAGGTTGCAGGCTCCTCCCTGGCCGGGGCCCAGGTAAGGACTCCTGCAGGAGGCAACCAATCTAAGTGTCCCTCTCACATTGATGTTTCTCTCTGTCTTTCCTCTCTCTTTCATGCTCTCTAAAAATCAATGGAAAAATATCCTCAGGTGCCTTCCCCTGATCATCCTGGTTGCCTCCCGTGGCTTAGGAGTGGGCGTAAGCCGTCAGTAGGTCATCCCCTCAGGGCTCCTGGACTGTGAGAGGGGGCAGGCCGGGCTGAGGGACCCATGCATGAATTTTGTGCACCGGGCCACTAGTTTACAATACCCTGCCATGAGGGCCTCACTGGGAGGGCGTATTCTAAACTACAGGAGCCGGGGAAGATGAGGAGAAAGCAGCAAAGGGGACAGAGGAGCAGTCAGGAGGAAGGATGTCCCAGAGCCAAATGAAGAGGGAGAAAAAAATTTAATTGTGCTGAGATAATGGCCAAGAATTGACCACCGGGACTGTATGTAGTTCACTGTGACCTTGATTAAAAAGGATTCGCAGGAGTGGAAGGATTCTAAAGAGAGTGGGAGTGGGGGAGTTAGAGATAATTAATATAAACAATTCCTTTGAAGAAGTGAAGTGGTAGCTGGAAGGGGATTTGGGATCCAGAGTTTTTTGTTTTGCTTTGGTTTGGGGCTGGGGATGGGAGAAATCGCAGCGTTGTTTGCTGATGGGATGACTGAGCAGAGAGGGAAAGATAGTTGATGTGGGAGAGAGAGAGGAGAATTTTTGCTGGAAGCACAGACAGTTCTTTCTGAGCAGTGTCTAGGCGCAGTGGCAGGAGGTGGGTGGATGCAGTGAGTCAGGAGCGGGTGGAGTGGAGGGGCTTTTCTGGTGGCTTCCACTGTCCCAGTGACCCAGGAAGCAAGGCCCTGGGCTGAGAGTGCGGTGGCGGAGGCACTGGAGGGCTGAGGAGCAGGGAGGGCATGATGTGTTTGGTCATCCAGAAGATGAAGGGCAGCACGGGGGGCCTGGCGGAGGCCAGTGGTCAGCACTGGTTCACAGGAGTGCTGCTGCACCTCCCCACTTTGGTTTTCTAGCAAACCTTTGCTCTTTGGCTAGTCCCTGCCGCTCAGATAAGATTAGCTTTCTATCTAACCCTTGTGGTCAGTTCTCGAGACAAATGAGATTCAATCTCAAATTTTCATTTCCTCTTTATGAAGGGAACTTCCCCTTCTCTCCCACCGACTTCTCTTTTTGGTGTGAGCGTGGTTTCAGGAAGGCAGGGAGTGGTTGTAGGCCTGCCTAGGGCCAGAGCTGTTTGGGATCCCTGACTGGGAGGGAGGGCTGGTTGGTTGGGAGATAATGGAGTGCTTTGAAGTAGCTGCTCTTGAAGTTCAATGGCCAACAGTGCCCCCAGTGGAATTCTTGGAAACCCTGTGATTACAATTATAGATGATTTTAGTTTATGAACTTTAAACAGGTGGTATAAAATTCAAAAGAGAATGCAGTGAAATGCAAATCTCCCTCCCACCCCTGGCCTTCAGTTGCGTGGTTCCCGCTCAAGGCAACCATTTTTGACAGTCTCTTGGTGTGCACGGATAATTTTAGTGACTGCTGAGCAGTAAGGGGAGTGTGTGTGGGTAGGCCCATCTCAGCAGGCTGGAAATACTTACTCAGGAAACTGGATGTCTATAAAATTCTTGGGCACGTATCCTTCTTGGCTCCCAAGCTCTGCCTTGAACCACTCCTCTTGGTTACTTAAGATCTACATGGAAGAGAATGAAGGACAAAGACACTGCAGGGAGGACACCAAGAAGCAAAAGAAAGGGGCTGCGGGGTGTGGGTTTAGAGAAAATAAATCAAAGAAACCACACAGCTGCCCGAGTGGGGGAGCAGCAAGGTTATCTTTGGGGTTTAGCTTTTCTTGACCCCAAGCTATTTCTGTCCATGAGTGCCACCTACACAGCTGACCCCACCATGGCGTGGCCTCCCAGACTCAGCACTCAGGGGCGTCCCAGAACCCCTTTCTCTTTCTAGTTTGGAAGTTCATGTGCCCCAGACCTTAGCACCTAAGCTCATTGTCTGGGCTAACGGTAAGAAGGCAAGAGTGACTGCTCCATAATTTTTCTTCTCTGTCAGGTAACTAGGATCCTTTTAAAAATTTAATTTGTTCTAATTTTTTTTTTGAAACAAGCAGATTAAAATGTAAGTATCCAAGTGGGGCCAGCTTTGAAAACAGTAACTCTTTGTGTGCACACTCCATGTGGTTCACAAACAATTTGGGCATAACTCAAGATATCTAGAATGCCTTTTTTAAACTTGTTTTTATTTTATTTATTTTCTTTTTTTTATTTGCAAACCACATGTATTCTTGATACATATCTTAGCATCAAGACTATATAAAGAACTCTCAAAAAGCAACGGTAATAAAGCCAAACAATCCAAATAAAAAAAGAACAACAGACATAGACAGCCATTTCATTAAAGAGAATATACAGATGGCAATTAAGCACTTGAAAAGGTGTTCAATATTATTGGCCATCAGAGAAACACAAATTAAGATGACAATGAGCTATCATTACACACCTATCAGAATGGCTAACATAAAAAGTAAAGATAACACCAAATACTGCCAAGGATGCAGAGAACTGGACCACTCACACATTGCTGGTGGGAATTAAACTTGCTTTTAGAGCCAGGTCACAGGCCAAACCAGAAGTCCTGCCTCGCTATGGCATGGTCCTCCCTTGACAGTGATCACAAATGTTATCATCTATCGTGATTACACATGTGATTGGCCTGATTTGGCTCTACGTGCCTTTTGGTTATTTCAGGAAACGTTTCACCATTAAAAGACAAATATTTGCCCACAGCTCCCCTCTGAGAACGTTTCTACAGTATGTGGCATAGACTCGAACAATAATTCAAAATGACAATGGCAGAGCAAGAAGGTGGAAAGAACCTTGATGATGCCACTGAGCCACGGAATCAGCCACCCAGGAGCCCGCCTACTTCTGGAGTTGGGGTGAAAATTAATAAATCTTTGTTTAACAATTTTTAGTTTCTGTTTCTTGTAGCTGAGAGTGTGTTAACTGAGAGGAGTGCTATGATGCAGGGGAAAGCAGAGGACGGATAGGAAAGACTAGCTGGAGGAGGGGACATCTGGGCTGTCCAGGCAAAGACAGGAGTTACCCAGGAGAAGTCTGATGTTGAAAGAACCACTTCTGGGATATGAGAAAGTGCAGTGCATTCTGGGAGCGAAATGCCTTAGTCTGGTGGGAGTTTAGGTCATTGTCCAGAGATAGAGAGAGGGGAAACCAGACACCCGGCCTCATGGTCCATGTTGACAATTTGAATATTTATCTTGACATTTATGGGAACCATTAAAGGATGAGCCATTAAAGCAGGGACATAACACAGTGAGAATTAGAGTTACTAGTAAGAAAGAGTGCTGCCTCAGAGTGTGGAGACGGAGAGGAGGGGTGAAGTCGGGGAAGGAACTGCAGGAAGACTGCTGCAGACATCCAGGCGAAGGACGGAGGGGATCTGGCCTACGAGGTGAGGACATATTTTAGAGGAATCAGGAAGCAAAATGGGCAGGATTTCATGACTGTGGAGCGAAGGGAGAATGGGGATTCTGGGAAGGCTCCGGATTTCTGGCTGGGGAGACCGAGTGGGTGGTGATGCCTTTACTAAAATAGAAAATACAGGAGGAGGAGCAGGTCTGAGGGGAAGCTCATGGGCCTCAGCTTGCGTGTGGGTGAGGCCAGGTTCCCTCTGGGACCATCTGAGGAGACAGGCTCAGTGAGCAGTGGGAGACATGTGTCTGGACCCAGCAGCGAGGTTGGGATGTTAGAGTCACCGGAAAGTGGTGGAGTTGAAGCCACAGGTCCCCTGGATTTCTCTCTCCCAGAGATGAAAAGAGAATGAAAGGGAGCTAAGTAATTGAGAAGCAACGATGGCCTCTTTCTACTATCTCTCCTGAGGTGGAGGGAAGGGGACAGCACGTCGAGTTTGGAATGAGAAGACCTGGTTTCTAGCTTGGCCCTGTCACTCACTGCATGACCTTTGGTAAGTCAATTGACGATCGGAAATATGGGGACAGAAGCCCGGGCTAACGCCTTGATGTGAAGATCAATTGAGCCCTGTGCCTGGCCTTCCTTCAGAAGGGGTGTGCTGTTGTTCAAAAATGTCATTCTGTGACATGTGATCTTCTCATGAGGGAGGACTCCAGCTCTGAAGGACACAGAAGGGTTTTGTAAGTTCTTTAAAGTGTTCTGTATGTATGTTTTGAGTTTAATCATTTGTTCTGAAGAAATAAAAGTGTGTCCCATAACTGAGTTCTAGAATTGCTGAGAAAAGAAAACTTTACAGTTTCTGACATCACATGTGGCTGTTAGTATCACTAGAGACGTGTGGGGTGTGTATGCTGAAGGGTGTGGGGACCAGAAAATCTAGGTCAGAAGAAGAACTAGGAACAGGCACCAGCGCTGGTGTTCACATAAAGGCACGAGGACGTTTCACGTGGGGCGTGTCCCGGGTCTATGGTTTCGGAATGGTCTCATGGGAATTTGGAGTTTGGCCTGCGTGGCAAATGCCAAACAGGAGAGTGGGCAGGGATGAGGTGAAAGCGGCCATTTGGAAATTGGCTCTTCACGGTAAGAACCACATTTTGTGCTTAGTTCTCTGACCTGAAACTAGCTGTCATTTTAGTAATCGTGGCTCACACCCATCCACCTCCTCCAGCGACTGAAAGATTATCGCTCGATGCCCGTCACTTCTCCCCACCACCTGGCGTTCGGTCTGCCTGAGACTGTGTTCCCGGGGAGGTGAATTTCCAGCCTATTTTTGGTGTCTAGAATACAAGGTTTTAAAAATTCCACTTTCTGCAAAGAAGAGTATTTGGGGGGAGGTGGTTTCCTCCTGCCGTTGAGGGGCCCCAGACTTCCTGTGCTCATCTCTCCCTCTACTTGGCTCCCCCCTATCTCTTGTCCCCATCACAGAAACCTGAGCAAGTTCGGCCTGAACACGGGAGGGTTGACGCTCCACTTTACTGTGTCTTAATTCTCATAACGCTGCCTACAGAGCACACTGCTGGCTCCACGCCTGACACTAAGTTAGATGTGGGAAGAGGACGAAATGTACAGTTGGGAGAATTTTAAAATTGGATGGAATTACTGCTCTTAGAAGCATAGCAGAAATTTGAAATATTGAAGAAGTTAATGACATAGGATTAACTTAGTGCTTTTAGGCCGCGGTTTTAGTAGGAAGAATTGAGGTGGAATTAGATGTACTACAGAAGCAGACAGTAAGACTGACAAATTCAACTGGTACTGGGTAGCTGCAGGTCCGAGGTTTGTGACACAAACACAAAACACCCGGCGCCTGGCTTTTCAAATGCTTCTCTCACAGGAGAAGTGGGCTCAAGTCACCCGGCAGGAGTTCCCTGTTCACCATTCTGTGACCAGCATCTAGTGAGCACCTGCTGTTTGCACGTAGATACTGGGAATGCAGAGGTGAATAGGCAGGGCGCACAGGCTGGAGGGGGTGTGGGTTGGTGGCAAGCTGGGCAGACATTTTTTGTACCTTCTAATGAAAAAGTCTGTTTAGCCTTTTATTTAGCTCTAAAGGCCAAACACAAAAGAGCATCCCGGGAGTGAGTTGCAGAGTCAGTCCAGAGATGGCTTTGAAAACAATGGTGTGGCTCCCAGGTTGTAACTCAGCTCTGGGGGGGGGGGGGGGGGGGGGACAGGTGTTGCCACATATGCAGAGGGACCCACAGGCAGGGCCACTAACCCCCATGAGGCAGACATTCTATGAAGCTCAGCCAGAAAGCCCCTCTCGGCTTTTCTCTTCACTGCACAGCTGCAATGGACAGAGTTTGAAAAGAAAGAGGAGTTTGGCCTTCTGACGGAGTTCCACACGAGCATGCAGAAATGCAATCTAGCAATTCAAGAAATGTGTACAGAGCACCTGTTTGGAGCTGTGATTTGTACTAGATGCTGGGAAGATGCAAAGATGGCGTGGCTCTGCTCTCAGTGAGCTCACAGAGCCGTGGAGGGGTCAACCATTCATTCATTTACCACCTATTAAGGAGGGTCACCTTTCTGCTGTTCTAGACACTGAGGCAGACCCAGCCCCCGCCCTCACAGAGCTTTGTCCTGTGGCCAACACACAAATGGCAATCAGGATCCCATGGGGTAAGGACAGCAGCCCGAGGTGGATGTACACGCATATCAGAGCACGAACGCTCGGCCTGCCCATAAATAACTGTCATGTGAGCCAGGATCATAAATGCCTTGAATAAAGTGCCTGTGAAATGCTGGGGAATCGCTGAAGAGGAAGTCCTTAATTTTCCCAGGGCAGTAGGGAGCGGGAGGATCGGTGAGGGTTCTGGGGCAGAGGTGGTCAAATGTGTGTGTGCGGGAGAAGGGCATCTGGAGGATGGGGAGAGCCTGAGAAAGGGTGGTATGTATACTCCAGTGTGACCTGGGGGCAGAGATGTATGTGTGTGTGTGTGTGTGTGTGTGTGTGTGTGTGTGTATGTATTCATGCACGTGAGCATGATGAAGCTGGGGCCAGACGGCTTAGATTTCAACCAATTGGTAATGGGAGACCACTGAATGCTTCTGAATAAGGAAGTGACATGATCTGATCTGTCTTCCAGAAAGATCCCTCTGGGACTAGTAGAGAGAATGATTGAAGGAGGAAGATACAGGAGGTGATGGGGTCAGTCAGGGGGCTGTGGCCACAGTCTGAACAGGCAGAGGCAGCAGGAATGAGTAATACTAATAATACGGTGGCCACTTACCGCGCATCTGCTTTGGGATGGGACCATTACCTCTAATCCGTTCCACAACCCTGCAAAACAGATACTGAAGACACCGAGGCTCAGGGGGCAAGTGAGTGGCCCAGGCCGCACAGCTAGTAAGCTGGGATTCAAACTCAGATTTATCTGCGTCCAATGTCCTTGCTCCTTTGGACTGCATTGGCTCCTCTCTAGCAAGGGGTTGGCCTGAGACATGTCATCCAAGAAAAGTATTCAGAGCAGAGGACAGTGCTAGCAAGTCAGACAGAACTCCATTCAGACCTGGGAGAGGGGGTTAGAAGTGTCACACTCTACAGGCATTGTAGTAGGGTCATTATATTCTACGTAAGGACATCGCTGGTGGATTTTAAGGGAGTTTTGGGGGGGGGGTGAAAGTCAGATTCCAGGGTTCCTGTGGAATGAATGGGAAGGGAGGGAGTAGAGGCACCAGTATAGAGAATCCATCCCAGTATTGGCAGCAAAAGAGAGGCAGGAAATTGGAAGCTGAATTGAGAAATGGAGTTGAGGGAAGTTTTGTGTTTTGTTTTTTTTTTCCTTTTAACTTTTCTGGGGAATAGGGAAAATTTAAACAAGACATTAGGTTCTATTTGCAATGAGAGATGAGTCATATGTTCACAATACCCATAGGTAAGGGAGAGATTGCTCACCAGGCGGCAGACCCTTCTGTGACCTTGATAAGATCCCAAAGAATTGAAGGTCACCTTTTCCTGAGTCAGCAGCCAAAGGCCATTTTGACCTTGAAAAGCTCTAACATCGAAGGCACATTTTTTTTGCAACCACCTTACTAGATCTTGCAAGGTGAGAACAGTTAGAGGGACAAATACTGGGGGTGTTTCTTTCTATAACAAGCGTAATTCTTAGTGGTGAGACAATGGTGGCCTCAGTGCTGCTGGGAGCCAGGGATCAGGATATCCAAGGCGCTGTGGCCAGGCAGGGGGATATTGGCCTCACAGACCCCCCAGTGGCCTCTTGAAGGCCACTTTTACTCTTCTGCACCAAACAGGGGCTAAGATGCAGAGTCTGCCAGTGTGAGGCATGAAAGTTGGAAGAGGTCCAAGGCCTCTTCAGCTTAGCGAGTGGCCACTACAACTCAAGTGCAGGCTGGGTGTGCATGGCCTTTGTTGAGTCCTGTTTCTACCCACACCCTCATCCTGTAGTCCCAGCCCTGCTGAGTCTCACAATGCGCACAGAATTCCACATGGGCTTGCTCATTTCCGAGCTTTAGCGAAAAGCCCAACTCTCCTTCATTACATCCTAACAACTGATGTTGCCACACTGGCCACAAACCCACCTTTCACGGTGGGACCACTTGCTCCCTCACCTGTGCTGCCTGAGCTCTTGGATAAGAGCATCTGCAACAGCCCTTTGGATGGATTAATCCCCCCCGCCCCCCACACCAGACCACAAGCATCTCAGGACAAGGATGATGCCTTATGCCAACCGCACTTCCATCCCCTAGGCTGGCGGCTGGCATACAGGTGCTCAGAAGGAACCCTTTTGATTGAGGTGAGCTTCTCTTTTGGAAAGGAGCTGTGTGTGATTCTTTAGAAACAAAGGCATGTGTTGTTATTTTAAGTCAGTGACCAGACAAGAGTAACTTAAACTCCCCAGGGGGCCCCTGGGCCTCACATCACCTACCTTCAGAGTATCTCCAGTGTGAAAGCTCAGCTCATCCTCGCCTGAGGCGGTGAAATCAAACTTGGCGACGGCTTCCATGTTGTAAGGAGAAGCTGGAAGAGAAAGAACACGGTCATTGTGCCCTTCCGCTGGGAGAAGGGCAGCGGCGCCGATGGTGCTGTGTGACAGTCTGAGCAGTTGGTAGGCGAGTGGCCCACTGTCTCAGGCTGGAGAGCCTGGCGCAGGCGTACTGTGAAGACTCTTGTTTTTGAGAAGAGTCTTGATGGAGCCTTTAGGGCCTGCTTCCTGGCCCTAAATCTGAATCCCCAGATGCCAGGAGCAGGAAATGAAAGCCAGAGACTGACTCTCTTTTCATCTCCCTTTGCCTGGCCCGGCCTGTCACCATTTCTGGGGCATCTCCATTTCCAGTTGATAGGAAAGGAGACTTGCTATCATCTCTAACTTGAGGCCTGAGGGGCCAGAAAGACTGTTTTTTTTTTTGTTCTTTTTTTTTTTTTTATATATATATTTTATTGATTTTTTACAGAGAGGAAGGGAGAGGGATAGTCAGAAACATCGATGAGAGAGAAACATCGATCAGCTGCCTCCTGCACACTCCCTACTGGGGAAGTGCCCGCAACCCAGGTACATGCCCTTGACCGGAATCGAACCCGGGACCCTTCAGTCCGCAGGCCGACGCTCTATCCACTGAGCCAAACCGGTTTCGGCTGTTTTTTAAACACAGTCTAGTCCGAGGCTGCCCCTTGGCAGCTATATTTAACCCGGTGGTGTTAATTAGACAGATGCCATTGCATCTTTTACATCTGAATCATTTAAGAGAATTAGTGCTGGCCACTGGGGACCTTCAGGTCCTTCTGCACGTTTGAGAATAGAAAGCTTTCTGGTTTTAGAGTTGGGAGACTCGATTAGTCAGCTTCCTAATTTATGTTATTAATATTGTATAAGCCAAGTACATTTGGAAAATTTTCATTTTAATACTTCTGAATTGAGTTAAAATATTGACCCCTCCTAGTAACAGATGAGACCTGTGTAAAGATAAATGTCAGCCTACAAATGAAACAGAGGTGTTTGAGTTGTTGTTTTTTTTGTTCTAGGAGGCAGTGGGGATGTAATAGAGAGCTGAGACCTGACTTGTTGGTGAACAGCTGCAAGCAACTAACCTCTTGGAGTCTCAGTTTCCTCGTCTGTAAAATGGGGGTCATAATATCCAACTAGTAAGAGGGTGAAATAAAATAAAATAAATAGATGCAAAATGTTATAGAAGGTAAAGCTAAGCAGCATTTTTGTTTCAAAATAATCTGATGGAATGAATTTATCCTCAGCAAAGGTAGGCTGGCTAACACAGCACAAGTTTTCTTCTCATCTCTCCCATCTCCTAGAACTTTCTCATTGAAATTTGATGTTTAGTCTCCGTGACCCTCAAATCCTTTGGTCCTCTGCTAAGATGGCTTACTGTCAGGACAGTCTTGAACGCTGCTTGTTGGCTTTTATGTTTTGCAAAATTTGCCCAAGTCCGAAACCCTTTAGGTTAATAACACTCAAACTTAATTGACTTTCAGTGACCAGTAAACTGGGACAGTAAATTGTCCCCTCAGTGGGGATTTCTGCCTAAGTGACAAGATTTGGGTAAATAAGGAAGGAAGGCCGCCACGGGTGGGAGGGTGCAGCGGCCGAGATCAGGGGATTAGAGCTGACTACTTCTGAATTTAGTTAAAATACTGACCCCTCCTAGTGACAGAGGAGACCTGTGTAGTGGTGATAGCAAGGGGCTCATCTCTTTGATTTTCCACATTTGCTTGGTCATCCAAAGGTAATTTGTAGAGATGAATATTACCAACCACAAAGAAAGATATTCCAGGCGCCAAAGAAAAATGTCACTGCTGCCTGAGCTCTATCACACATCAAAATGATTTTGAAAGAACAAGAAAAAAAGTATACTTTTTGTACACTTTCTTCAAGATCTGTTCATCTAAGGCAGCGGTTCTCAATGTGTGGGTCGTGACCATCAGAAAACACATATAGCATATCAGATGTTTACATTACGATTCATAACAGTAGCAAAATTACAGTTATGAAGTAGCAACAAAAATAATTTTATGGTTGGGGGTCACCACAACATGAGGAACTGTATTAAAGGGTCGTGGCATTAGGAAGGTTGAGAACCACTGAAGGCAAATTAAAATTTTTGTGACCTAGGATGACCCACTCAACGGGAAGGCCTATTCTGCCCTCCTTAGTGAATGCTAAATGCCTTTGATGATTTGATTCACTCCATTACTTTAACATCCAAAGCTTCCCCTAATTAAGGCCTTGCCTCTAGTTGGCACCACATTAAAATGTGGTGTCTGAGGGTCACCCTCATGGTATCAACAGTGAACACTGGTCACTTCAGGAGATCAAGTGTCAGGTGAATGGTCCTGAAAACCAAGATCCCATTTCCATGCAAATTTACCTTAATGAGCAGGATGGAGACAAGGGGAGTGCAAATGCTAAACATATTAGAAAGTCACATAAATTAGAGATGAAAAGCATATTCAAGGCCTGCTCTAGATGTGACCTTGAGCGTGGGAAGATCTGCCCTTCATTGCATGTAACTCCGATCAGGCCTCGCCCCGGCTGGCTGTCAGTCACTTCAGAGAGAGGGCTGAGGCGGAAGCAGGACTGCCTCTGAATAGGGGCACTTTTCTCCTTCCCCCACGAGGCAGGTGGCTGGCTTTCAACGACAGCCACATCACATAGCTCCCCTGCTTATGATATTAATCCTGGCTCAGAAAACCCAATTAAATAGGCCCACAATTCATGAAATCGCTTTGAAAAAATTTGTTTGCATCCCATTTCCATTTGTGAAATGAAATCTTTCAGCTGCTGTTCGGAGGAGGAAGCTGTTCAGGGGGGAGTGAGGTATGCTTTGTTTTTGTTCAAATCACAGGGCTTTGCAAATTCTTCCCTTGATTTTACCATTCTCTGCCTCCCGAATAGCAGAGGATGGTCCATGTGCCACCCCTGGAGGCCGGTCTCCTGTTTGATCATAGGAATGCGTCAAATGTATCTCATTCCTCTATAGCCATTCGTTTTAATTTAATTTGGGAAAGTTTAAAATTGCCACCAGGGAAAAATAAAATTGAACAAATGTAGTTTATTCGATATTTATCTGTTTGTTTTATAATCTGTACCCACTACCACTGCATCTGGGAAACTATATATATGAATATATGATAAAACATGGTAGCAACACGTTTGAGATAGAAGAGAGGAAAGAGAGAGATGAGAGAGAGAGAGAGAGAGAGAGAGAGAGAGAGAGAAATGAGGGGGAAGAGAAGCTGTTTCTAGAATTAGAATTCGAGAGTGCAATGCCTTCTCCATGCTGTTGCAGAAACAGTGCTACTGGCCTCACAGGGAGAGGGCAGAGCCACCCCTTCAGAGAGCCTCCAGATGGATTAAATGTGCTTTTTCCTGCCAGTGATCAGCTTTAGAAATGGCTGAAATGCTATCTGCCATAGAGTGTGAATGAGAAGTGACAGTTTCCAGGGGCAGGCAAGCCACCTCTAGCAGCCTCCCCCTAATCCTACCTCAGAGCCCAGGGCTCCTGTCCCTACTGCGACCTCTGCTTCTCACCAGCCGGCAGCATGGGCCTCACTCCCCCTTTACTAATGGCAGGGAATAGCCATTAGCAGCCCCGACACAGATCCGCCTCACCGCAGGGCAGCACCGCACAGGACTCCTCAGGCACGATTTTCTCTGCCCTTGCATTTCCATTCAAGTTTCTTTTACCACCAAAGAACTTGAAAAAATACTCAGACTAAATACCAGGAATGCTTCTCTACTTCTAAAATAGAGTCACCACAGAGAATGGAAACAAAAGCCAGGAGACAGTGCTGTAAGATAGCCATCCGAATGGATGTCGGTTACCTACATATGAATACCTTGTCACACATAATGTCAACACATACAGCAATTTTGGTGAGATGGAGCTGATGAAGCATCTCCTCTTCTGTAAATCCGAATACTGCTCTAACAAAGTCATGTGACATGAAATAAGTTAGATTTTGCAAGAAGAGCTCTTGCAACAAAACTCTCAGCCTTTCCCCCTTCGTCCTATAGCAACTTAGTATCTGGAGCCATTAATAATTTTTTTTTTTTAATCCAGAAGGCATGTAGAAACCTTTTCAAATTTTTTATCTGATTTGTTCATGCAGATGTAGTTCTATCAAAAGACCTTATTTTACCTTAAGATATTTGTTGCACTGTGACCTCTGTGCACTGCTGTGCTTAGAAATTTCTAGCTCAGTTCATTAAGAGCGTAAAACCAATCTGTATCATGTACCAAACTGATTTAAGGTAAATCTACATGTTTATTGAAAAGAAAATCCTTAACTGAAAGCCAGAATTAGTGGATGTGTTCAGAAACACATGGTTACCATCAAAATGGTAAGAGACTTCTTAAAAGATTTCAGCTCCTCCTAAGATGGCTATGAATAGTCAAGGTTCCTGTTTCATGCATCTCTTAAAAAGAGCAATTGCGTAACACCAGAAGCTATTTGAAGATTCAGGCTCAAGATCCATCGAAAGAGGGAGCCGGGTCCTCAACTGAATCAGTGACCACACTTCTTATTTTTCTGGGGAGAGTTCTAATTTGAAGATCATATGACTTGCCCCAGTTTATACTGTAATTCAGTTAAGATAATGCCTTGGGGGGAAACAGAGGGAGAAGCACTGCTCTTTATAAAGACTCTTAAACAACATGGGGTTTGGGGTGCTGACCACCCCCTGCCCCAGTTGAAAATCTGCCTATAGCTTTTGACTTCCCGAAGGTTTAGCTGTCCCTCAGTGTCCATGGGGGATTGGTTCCAGCACCTCCACAGATGCCAAAATCTAAGGTTGCTCAAGTCTCCTAGATCAGTGCATATAGTAGGCCCTCCACTTCCCTGGACTCCTCACCTCAGGTCAAAAACTGTACAGATATTTACTAAAAAAAAAAACCCACCCACGTATAAGTAAACTGGCACAGTTCAAACCCGTGTTGTTCAAGGATCAACTGTATTGCTTGTAGCATATTTATCAGGACATTAGCAACAAATATAATTTTTATGAA